ACTGACGCAGGAAATCACTTATTTATCACGCCTTTACCGAAGCTATTCGATGTAATATTTGGATTTAAATATTTAAACAAATTGTAAACATTGTAAACCTTTAGTAATCGTGGTTTCGCCATTGATAAATCAATACGAGATCAAGTAACAAAACTACACGATCTAGGAGTCATTGCTGTGTCATTATTAAGTTGAATCGAGAGCGATAAAGAAGCGAAGACATTGGAAGACGGGAAATATTCTGACTGTATTATATGGCACAGCAGAGTCATTGTTGAAGACCGAACGATGGAGACGAATGTTTCAAGAAAGTGCATGTACGTATAGCAAAATGGTTTGTGCTTTGGCTATTGATGCATGAAGCTCATGCGAATAAAGAATGGTATATACGCCTATTATAATAAATCCTAAAAATGTGTTCGCTTCTGTAATTCTCAAAGACACAGGAATCGATTGGGCTTGGCCATTTTAATAGTCGTTCATATTTTATATTGTTTATTTAAATTGAATTTGTCATTTTGATACATTGCCTCGTATTATCTATTACATATAGTATACTAGCATGCAAGTTTATATGAGCCTTTCAATTATGAAGGGTTTACATCAGAGCCAGAGGGTTGGGGTATGTATATTAACTATAGAATGGCTCATAAACTGCTAGTGCTACGACTACGTGCAATAGATAAGACGAGGCAACGTATACAAAGAAAAATTCAAGACAATATAAAATAACGACTATTAAAATGGTCAAAGCCGATCGATTCCTGTGGCTTTGAGAATTGCAAATGCGAACACATGTTTAGGATTTATTATATATAATACATACTGAAATGAGCTTCATGCATCAATAGCCAAAGCACAAACCGTTCTGCCATACACTTTGTCTTCAACAATGACTCTGCTGTGTCATATATATAATACAGTACAGTCAGAATATTTCCCGTCTTCCTGAATGCCTTCGCTTCTTTATCGCTCTCGATTCAACTTAATAATGACACAGCACTGATTCCTAGATCGTGTAGTTTTTTTACTTGATCTCGTATTGAATTTATCAATGGCGAAACCACGAATAGTAAATGTTTACAATGTTTACAATTTGTTTAAATATTTAAATCCGAATATTACATCGAATAGCTTCGGTAACGGCGTGATAAATAAGTGATTTCCTGCGTCAGTTGTGAGATTTACGAAAACATCCTTCTTTTCGTTTATAATAGACTGAAAATCCTTTTTCTGATGCGCAGTGTTAAAACTTTAAAATTTAAAAATACTGCAGACTTGTTGATAATAGCCCATGCGTGTGAAGGTCAGTGCAGGTCGATCTTGCAGTTATCGTGCAGATTGTGATTGGTTAATTGCCGGGAAGTAAAATGTGTGGCGAATGTGAGCAGAAGTTAGGTGAGGCCTCGGCCACTAACAACGTCTGCGCAGGAGGCTAGTCTTCTTCTGGTAGTTTGTCTTTGACTGTTAAATTCAAGCTCTGTCCATGCAATGGTCCTGAGTGGCGATCAATACTCTTTCTAATAGAACTTGAAACGCTTCCATATCTTCCAGATTTCGAGGACGAACTTTCCGGAAATTGCGCAAAGCTGTTAGGTGTTTTATCTGTAAACGTCTCTCCCCTCCATACTTCTTCTCCAATTTAGCCTTCGCTCTTTCATACGCATTAAGGGAATACCCGAGATCTTTCACCATGGTTAAAGCTTTACCCGACAAACAGCCTTGTAGTCTAAGCATTTTTTCTCCGAGAGGAATATCACGCCGGTTGACAACAGACAGGAATTCTGCCTTACAGGATTCATAGTAACTTTTTTCTTCGCCGGAGAAGATAGGCAGATCCACCCCTTTAAGTCTAATGGGAGAAAATGTCTGTCTTTGTTCTTTGTTTTCATTGGGTAGCTCTGAATGTGACGGTTAATAAGGAAGTTCTGTACTGTATCATTATCCGATACTTGCGGTCTTCGTTCAGCTTCTTCAGCCCGTGACTTGTTGAGAGCAGCAACTTTCCTTGCATCATCGGTTCGCTGTTTTGTCAGCTAAAGCTCAGCGGTCAGCTTTTGGAGCTCTAGCTCCTTTACTCGCTGTTCGTTTCCATTTGGATAAGCCTTTCACTAGCCTCCTTCGCCTCTTTTTGTTTCTGTTCCACACTTATTACTTGTTGTCGAAGTGAAGGTAACACTGAGTCAGTTTCTCCATTGCCAAGTCTTTCCTCGAGATGTTGTTCAGCCATTACAATTATTGAATCCACTGAGGACCCGATGTCTTCAAGTTCTTTGTCTAAAGTCTCGATAACTGTGTTGGTCCCCTCATTTTCAGCACTCACAGCATAAATCTCTTTTAAGCCAGAAATAATTTTTTCAGTAATACTGATTTCGGAATTAACTTTATTAATAGCTCTTCTTATGGCATTTTTACTCGGCAATGGTACACCAGGAAGTTGTTGCTCAATTAGGTCGTTCAATTGTTTCTTAGCTTTGGTCAGCCTGGTTTTAGCCGATTTCTTACTACTTCGTAAAGTTTGAATCTTGGTACTCACATGTTTGCTTTCTATATTCAATGTATTTTCTTCTTTTTTACTTTCGTGGTCGGCGAGATGAACATTTTGAATACTTTTTACAGCTTCAACACCTTGGTCTGTCTCTTCTCCCGGCAAGTCTTGTTGTTGTCCACTCGTACTAAGCGCCATATTTGCTCGCACATTCACAACAAAAGTCGCGAATTTCTCGTTCTTTTGTCAACGGATCCGGCTCTCGAAGGACCAAACTCGTTCCCGATTAATTGAACAGTCTGTAAAATGTCTACACGAGATAATTCGCCACTTTATTCCGAGTAAAGAAACACAAAAATAGCCTAAATATCGTCACACTTTTTGTAGTCGAAAAAATATAAACTAGAACGTTCAAGCTACGTTTTGTCGCCTGCTCGACTAATTCAGCGGTCAAGATAACCAGTACTTCATATAATAATATCGTTCGTTAACAAACCGTTTTTGTAAACAGACAGCTGACGCAGCATTACATTCATTTTTGTGGCCACAAAAACATATTTCAAAACCTATCCTCAAACTGTAAATTGGACAGCAAGAGAAATTAAACATTTTCGACGACGAAACTCAATCTTAGCTTTGTTTATACAACTTTGTAGCTCTCAATATGGCGGATTTATAACTAGTGCACGCATGAGGAAAAAACATAGGACGCATCGTGATCAAGTACGCATTCTATATCTATTATATAATATTAGCCAGCTTGTATGAACAGCCCACAATTGAGACTTGTGAGCCAGATGAACCAGATGTAAGAAAAATATGAATTCCCATGCCCATGAACATCCCCATCATATTACTAGAAAATACATCCATGCAGAAACCCTCGCCTTGCTGACAAAACCATTGTATTTTCCGAACATGAAGTATCTAAAGTAGTCGTCATGGTAACACGATAATTTTTTAAGAATATTCTTAATAAAGAATAATCGCCTAAAAATATCACTTTTGATTACAAAATTATCCATTTCCCAACATATATATGTTAGGTATGTTATTATACGTAATATAAGTCTCAATTTAAGGTAAAATTCAACCACAAACGCTTCGCAAAACGTTTTAAAGTGTTCTTTATCAAACCAAACTGCCTTTAATTAAATGGCTTTATCGATAAACTTTGAGTTCAAATTCTCGCTTGCAAATAACTTTGCTTTCTTTTTTTATTTAAAAAATTCAATGTAATAAAAAAGGGAATCAATATTAAAGAACACTGAAATTATATACTGTCTTGTTTAGTTGTTTCATATACGCAAAGGCCGTCGCGTTTTAAAGCAATTGTAAAATCAATATTTAAAACAAACTTACCTTCGTTAACGTCGGATCCCTTCTTTTAGCCGATTCTTTCGCCCTTTCTTTCCGAGAACGCTTTTGAAATTTACAAAATCTTGCAAAAATGCGAGCAAAAATGAAATATATTTGCAAGAAATTTATCAATCATCAAATCACAAGAATAAGAAGGTACTGTACCTTCTTATTCTGTGATCAAATCAAGAAATGCTTGCTATTTCGCTGTCGTCGACTCGTCATGCAGTCGTTATAATGCAAACTTTAAATTGAACCAATCAGTGTCCGCTATTCATGACAGTCCGCCATATTTTTGAGATCAGTGAGGATGACCACCCGTCGTTGGTGACCCACGCCCGCAATAATTGATGAACTTCAGACTTAGCTAATGCTTTCGTTTCCCCGGGTGTAAATAGCCGGGGGGAATTAGTACCCTCGCACGGCGCTTCGCGCCGTCGGCTCGGGGATGAACAGTGACATTGAACAAAGTGATTATGTCCCACAATCATCCATATTCTGTAACTTATACTCCGTCAAAGCTTCATGTAGATATTTACTTCCAAAGAGCTTCATTTTATCACTTTTCCCCGAGCCCACGGCGCGAAAGGGCGAGCTAGGGCACTAATTCCGCTTGACTATTTACACCGAAGAAAAGGAAAGCATTAGTGCTTTATTTTCATAAATTACCCTTTCTATGAGTTTAGATTAAGAATCTTTGAATAAAGAGGAAAACAAAGTTATTTTCATGAGAGAATTGCGTAATCATTGTTTCTTGAAACTCAAATTTTATCGATAAAAGGCAGTTTACTTTTGTGAACTTTTTAAAACGTTTTGGGAAAAGCATGTGGCTGAATTTTACGCGTAAGAACATACCTATAATGTTTATATTAGAGAAATTGACAATTTTGTAAATTAAAAGTGATAATTCCAGGCAGTTTTTTTCAATTCAAAAAAATATATAAAAATAATTAAATCTTCGTGTTCTAAATATTTCATGTTTAGAAAATATAATGGTTTCGCTAGCAAGGCGAGGGGTTCTGCATGCATGTATTTCTACAATAGTTAATTAATACGAATTCAAAAAGGCAATTTTTAAGACAATGGTTTCGATACTTACAATATGAATATAAATACATGTTGATACGGAAGTCTGCAAATAATAATCGTATACTCACCCTTCAATGAACAAGCAAGTATCTTCCATCCTCTCTGTGCTTTCTGTTTCACGCTTGTCTCGGTCTTGAGTCGGTGAACTTTTCGAGACCACGTTCGCACAACTATTTTCTCCGCTGGATTTTGAGATTTCACCGAGACTCAACATCCGAAACTCTGGAATAAGCCCTGATAGCGAGTCTTCAGAGCAATTTGAATTGTCTAAAGATCCTTTGAGATAATCAGGAGATGAAGTATCAGTGTGCGGAGAATCGGGAGACTGTCCTTCGATTGTACTGCTACAACTTTTCTCGTTCTTTTGTTGTTGCTCGCAAATACTAATATCATGCTCTGTTTTTATATCAGCTTTATCATCTTGTTGCGCGTTTGTATTTCCCAGATTACTATACAAGTCCATTGCTCCACTTTCCGCATTAGTTTCTAATTGCGCATTCTCGTTACTCTCCAATGATTCGTCTAAGTTCAAGCGGTTTCGAAAGTTCTTTATATTGGCCTTTCTAGTTCTTGACCAAGGTGCAGCGCCAATTTCGCGCACCTGACCTATAACAGACTTTGGCGTGCTTTCCAAGCCTTCGAAAACATCATCTCCGTTCAAAAGTCCACGAAGTGAGCCGACAGACGGGCACTTGCTGGAGACAGGTGTTTTTAGAGGTACTACGTTTTTCACGCTTGATCTGTGGGCCTCAGTCCTTGCCCGGAGATATTTTTCCAATTCTTCTAATCCTTCACTCGTTGAGAAGTCGGTAAAGCAATCCAGGAATTTCCAGTATTCACACCATGAAACATTTTGGGATTTTGCCAACTTTCTGCAAAAGAACAGTAAAGTTCGTGAATTGCATGACAAAGTACAACATCGAGATTTTTGGGTATATTGCTCGATAGAACTAACAGACGATGGGTTTTTGTAGATAGAAATTTCGATGGAAGATTATCAACAATTTTAGATCTTAACCAGGAACAGGTACGAAAATGCGACATATGACCGGAAAACAAACCTTGCAACTCGTTCCAAGCCTTTCTCACTGTCGCTCCTTTTTATATTTCGAAACTTTGCCTGCTTGTCAGGTGTCGCTCGGGGAGAGCGTAGCGCATGATAAAATTTCTCCGCCTACATAACAAGAAATATATCAACACAATTCACCATGCATATGCATTACCAGAAAAAGACTATTAACGCAAAAACATTGCGATGTAAATGACACCCCTCATATAGTCTTGACCAGGACATCCCAGTAAAATTAACCGCTATTTTAAAATCACTATCAAACCAGTTCCAGAATATTTTACAAATGTGCTTGGAGTCGTGGCAGTGTTAACCTGTTTCCTATATTACTTGTATCTATGATTCCTCTGCCGAGCAGAGTGTGTACACTTGTTGTATATTTTTTTTAGGAACGATATAGCTATACTATAATCATGGGCGCACATGTTGCTTTGCTTCAAAGCATCGGTTTTGTGTTAGATTTGTTGGCTGGAAATGGATTACGATCAGCAATATGAGGTCTATTTTAAACATCGCAAAGGATCTGAATCCTGAACGAGAAACCACGACTACGGCTTAATTAAGGAAACCACGACTACGGTTGTGACATCAATTTCCACCAATGTAAACTCCCATTAAGTGCTGTTGTGGGCTGGTATATGTGATCAACAATACGCTCTACTATTCCTAGGAAATAGCAACGAGCTTGCCAATTAATACCTTTAACGCTTTGCATACCTCATGTGGTGACATAGGTCCGGCATATGCACGAACTTTATATCTTGGATCACCAGGATCTCCTGCATCCACGACATCTTCGTTGTTTTCATGCAAACCTGGAGACCATAGAGTTCCAATTTTGGCGGTGGAGCAATTGTCATCTGAGCGTAAAATTGGAACGCACACGCTTTCTGTTGGACGAAAAAATAAGACGCGTTCTCAACTCACAATCCGGTCAAAACATGCAATGACTCGCTGTGAAGCATAAATCACGAATTTGGTATTGCAGACTTAAATTTATATACCCACCCCCCTTCCCCGAGGATTAAAGCAACTGTAATATATCCCACATTGTTTGGGGGGGCAGGGGAAGGAAAGAGTACATTATACCGGTCTAATACTAAAAAAGCCACAGATGAATGCTTGGATAGAGTGTCGCAGCGGGTTTGACCAGGATTGGAAAAAGAACATTTTTTTAAAATAGATTGTGTATGTATCCAGCATATACACACTTTTTCGGAATAACGTTAGTCATCTGTATGGCATATATGGCGTCGAACAGCCTTCCTGTGAAAAAAAAATGTTCTAAATATTTTACCAAACTGATAGCGTTTTAAAATAGCACGTTTTCTATGACAGGTTTTATTTGCTCGTATTACGCAACTTTCCCAGTTTTCACCTTGACAATTAAACACATTTTTTCAAAAGCTAGTATCCTATCGTCTGAACTTACGTGCACTTGTGAATACATAACTTCAGCCCCTTCAGAACTATCTTCTTTGTAACAGTCTTGTTCGAATCGCTATCAAAAACACTATTTAGAGTGCCATTTTCTATATCTTCAAATTTGTATCTTTATCACGGTATTTCCATTTCTGGTCCGACTGTGGGCTAATCCCAACCGGAAATACAATTTCAAAACGTCAAAACAATGCGACGTTTCTATCGTATGATTCGGGAAATTCCAGAAATCGATTCTAAAGGTAAAATTGCACCTATACGCATGATTTTTGACGTCATCAGGCTACGGGAGTTTCTTATTGGCCAGGTATATATGATACATTTTTCAAAATGAAAGATAGCTAAAATTATTGGGGGAGGACAATCGCCCCCCCCAGTTTCCGCCACTGCTTGTACAAATTGTGTTCGTCTGTATGGGTCAACAAAGAAAAGTTGGAAAAGTAATTTGAGCACTTCAATGCGGTTGGTCAGCGATCTATTTGAGCATGGCCATGCAATAATAGCTATAGTTGCGGTCAAAAGGGAAAACAAAAAACTTGTGATAGAAAATGTATTGTACATACACACGTGTAATCGATAAATAGAAATGGCAATTAACTACATTTTAGGAAGTTACCGAGAATAGGCAAGTTTTATATTTGACTTACACAGAAAAGATTTATTTTATTGTACTTTACCAGGAAGAGAAATATATTTTCTATAGGGCTGCCCTACGACGTATATGTAGACGTGTATAGTTGACCACATGTTTGTACAACAATTTAACCAGGTCATGAAAGTTAAGCAAAATTTAGTACAAAACCGATAGTTGAAAAGTAGCTACTGTAAGTGACTGATAAACCGGTCCCTGCCTGTGCTTTGAAGAAGTCATATAACGACCTGGCACTACGCGAGAGCTTGCCTTAAGTTTTTCAATATCTAAATATCTTATGTATAAGTAACGTGAAACTTTATTTAGCTGCAAGACTCTATTTAGCCATCCCTTCAATAGTGAAAAGAATACGTTGGAAACATCACCTGGCTTGTGGAACATGCGTCGAATTCTTGAGCGTAGTTCTTCATCACAATTCGGTACTCGAGCACAGATAACCTGTAGAAGAATTCCATATTTATAATATTTTTGTTTGTGGAAACACCACGTAAATTTACTACGTACAGAACTGCATTATAATCATATAGATCATAAATTCATAATCATATAGATCAAAAATTCATAATGCATGCAGTAATAAATTTACGTGATATTTCCACAAACAAAAAGTATTATATATGTTTTATCGCCATGCAAACCTACAAAGAACTAATTACTGTACATATTTACTTTCAACTTTTAGCTATAAGAAGGCAAAGTGTATGCATCCAAACAGTGTATGCATGTAACTATCTATTTATATACTGTATCTCAACCCATGCAGTTGGGCACTTTGTAAAGCCTAGTTTCCATTTGGTCGTTAGTTGTCGCTGGCACGACAAGCGGTAGATGTGAAATAGTCTAATATCAATGGTCTTTTTGTGTGTTATATGCAAATCGGTCTTAATGATTGCAGAGTTTTATAAAGTTTTGTTGACACTCTATTACATCAGCCACTTGTCGCGCCAGCGACAACTAACGACCAAATGGAAACTAGGCTTAATAAGCGCACGTTAAATCTGTTCCCAAATCGAATTTCCATGTATTAGTATAATCAGGACTCGAATTTCCCTGAAATCAATCGACGGCAATGGCGTTAAAAATTGCCGTAGAACGTAACAGCTGTCTACGGCAATCCTGACAGTTTCCACGGCATTTTTCCAATTACTGTAATAAAACTTTACATTTTAAATTTCTTTAGTTGGTTTTTTTTTTCGAAGAAAACTGAGACTAAAATAATGATTTACGCATGATTTGATCAACATCTGAATTCAAGAATCAAAATAGTAATGCACAGTGAATAGTATAACAATTGCACTATACGGCAAAAAATTGCCGTCGTTGCCGCAATGATCCACGGCATTTTCGTATCGGAACCTGGGAGCCCTAACATTTTGGGGGATCTGCATTTTTGTAGGAATTTTCAGACACATTTGTGATGTTTGATAGCTATAATTCCGAAAATTACACTGATTGAATATATAAATTACTAAGTAGTAAATACCTGGTTATTGAAATAATTGAATACATTTATTACCAAATTAATCTACTAATCCGATACCGAAATTACAGCGGAACAGTTCGAAACGAAAGTACTCATATATAGCATGTAGTAGAAATGTGTTTTTAATCCTGTAAGATCTAACTACTACGATTACTTCAGAAGTTTATATCTTGTATAATGAGTCATGAGTGTTAAAGACATACTGTACAGGTACTACTGTTTCATACGACAAACACATCTTAAAGAACATAATTCACGAACGGTAAAAAAGACAGTTCCCATTGAAATTTTATTGTACAGTAATCAGAAAATGTAAGTTGAGACCTAAATCCAGATTCTCCCACCTAGAGAGAGGAGATTTATTGATTTTGCCAAAACCCAATAACAAACAAATACAATACAATAAATTAACGTGAAGTTACAACAAATTAATAAATAATTCCAGGGCTCGAAATAACGGCCGATCAACGATCAATGATCGGCAGGAAATTGTTTTTGATCGGCGAAGAAGCAACGTTGCCGTTCATCTTGATCGGCAGAAATATATTTGACCATTGTCTAAAAGACATGCTTACCTGTACGCGGTAAAAGACAAATAAAACATAATACACATTCAAAAACACGCAAAAAGCTTTCTTGTCAATTAGTTGATACGAGTCATACGACAGGAAAGGCCGCAGCACTATTCTCGCTCTAAAGTAATTTACTATAAAACAAATTTGCATGAAGTATTGTCGTCTCTGACTGCAATCCGAATATTTTTAAATATCGTCGTCTCTTCAACAGACTGCAATCTGCCAATCTGCACCGCTGACAACGAACATTTTTGTTATAATAATTTCAAATTAATAGGATTTTTTGAGTAGGATTTTTGTTTTCAGTAGGATTTTCTCTTTTAATAATATTAAATAATAAGTTTTAGTTCTTAATTGATAATATTGATTATTGCTGGGTTAAGTGTGTTTCTTGCTTTTGTGTGAAAAAGTGCAATAACTATAATTAAAACTTGAAAAGTGTTATAATAAACTAAAGTTTATTAATACATGTTAAATGTAGCCACACTATTAGTATTATATACATAAGTTCATAAATGTCGTAGATTTAAACTTGAATTTGAAATAAAGTAAAAACTTCCTGTTCAGATGTGTATTTACTAGCATATTTAGAAATTTTTTCAAGGAAACTTAGGCTCCTGATCGGTCAGATTTTCATTTGATCGGAAAAAAGTCGTGATTGCCGATCACCATGATCGGGAACGTTGGGAACGTTATTTCGAGCCCTGAATTCTTATCAATACACATGTATTTATTAGTTGCAATGGGGAAGAGAGGAGAACATATTTGATCAATACTGATCAAGAGGGGTGTTTATATTCAGAGATAAATGTACATGTAGCTCAGTAGAGGTTTTAGATGGCCCAAATGCATGTTATGTACAAATTCTACCATATATGCAAAAGTAAAGAGTTACCTGTTCTGCTGTTTTCCCCTCTTTGTTTGGCATAGTTCTTTCAACACCCGGAGACGACAACAAGTATTCAACGACATCTGCTCTACCGAATTTACATGCAAAATGTAAAGGTGTTTCACAACCCTAGACAATTTAGATGTGGCAAATTAATATTTTTCACCTTCCATACATGACATGGTATAGCAGCTAGAGTATACCCATAAATGCAAGCTCCTAAAATTTTGAAATTGTACAGAAATTTCAACACCCAAATTTAAGACTCAAAGGTGCAATTTTCAACATGCACGCGCATTACTGAGGTAAAAATCCCACATTTACAAAAGTACCAGACTATATTGTTAGTAAAGACAATGATAGTCTATCATTCTATACTATGATTCTAAATATTTATCTTATCTAAAGTACAGTAGGTATCATATTTCAAACCAGCCTAGAATATTAATGGTAGTATCATAATGGTACTATTTCAAAACTGGAACAGTCTTGTGTTGTCCTACTGTAGATCAAGGAATTTACTATAATGGAGGCTTTACCAACTGAGCTACAGAGGCCAGATGTCGAGCGTTAATCACAGGTTCTTGTATGTCAGGATTTCATAAACTGGCCCCTATAGCTCAGTTGATTAGAGCGCTGCCAAATGACTTATGGTGTTGAATTTAAATTGATCAGAATTGAATTTATTAAATTTGCCAACAATACACACAATATGTCATTGGGCAGGGATATATTCTTATACAGTATGCAGTACAGTAGTCATTGTGGTAGGCAGAAAAAGTTGTCATAGAAAATTAGATAACCTGATCATTATATACTTGTGCCTTTACCGTGGTCAGAATTTATTAGAAAGTTAATCATTGAACTATAATACGGAATGTCTATACTGAATGTCATCAACATACTCGTTTATATTAATTCAGCATCGAACAATACTAGTTCTGCAAGTTGGTAGAGCAACAATCTAGTAACTTGTTGGTCGCAGGTTCGAAAACCAAACAATTCTTCTTATCATATTCCCGAGTGAACAATAACACAAAATAATATAATATAGTCATTGGGCAGGGATATATTCTTATACAGTATGCAGTACAGTAGTCATTGTGGTAGGCAGAAAAAGTTGTCATAGAAAATTAGATAACCTGATCATTATATACTTGTGCCTTTACCGTGGTCAGAATTTATTAGAAAGTTAATCATTGAACTATAATACGGAATGTCTATACTGAATGTCATCAACATACTCGTTTATATTAATTCAGCATCGAACAATACTAGTTCTGCAAGTTGGTAGAGCAACAATCTAGTAACTTGTTGGTCGCAGGTTCGAAAACCAAACAATTCTTCTTATCATATTCCCGAGTGAACAATAACACAAAATAATATAACCCTTGCAGAACTAGTATAACCCGCACCTAATGCTTTCCCTAACTAATCAGGCCGCCTGCTCGCAGGTTGATCCATGGAGCTAGCATGTGCAAGGCAAGCGCCTAATAACTGCTCGGCTACCGAGGATTTGCTAGAAAATTATTGAAATTGACTTGATAGCATTTTAGAAAGCTAACAGAACAAAGAAATGAACCAATTAAATTAATTCATAAATACAGTAGCCAAAGCTTGTTGGTTTCTGTGGCCGGGCCACATTAAATACAGTAGCCAAAGCTTGTTGGTTTCTGTGGCCGGGCAAATAACCACTTCCTTATAAAAACGTTAAAAATACTGGTACACTGGTCAGTATTCTCATGTAGGCAGTTGTGATATATCAATATTTTCGATAAATATCGATATTTCAAAAATATCGATATTTGATATTCAATTTTTCGCATATCGAAAATATCGAAAGTTGTAACTAAACAACTTAATCTCCGATTATTCGGCAATTATTGTTTTCATCAGTGAAGTTTAGACAACGTTTGCATGGCGTGCAATTGCGAATTTGTGATACAAGTGTGTAGGCAATTGAAATTAAAAGCTGAGTTGGAGATGACGGATAAACCGTTGTTAATAAATCTTTGAGACGTACCATGACTGGTTTCATGCACTTCTTTTTTAACTGTTTGTAATGTGTATACATGCAAGTTGACTAAATTATGTGGCTTCATTTGCATAATTCGATATAGTCGATATTATCGATTTTTTTTCGATATCGGTATATCGATTTTTTTCGATATCGCAACTGCCTATTCTCATGGTGGTATATATGATCATAATTTGCAATACCGATTCCCTCCACTCACCCCTTTGTCCGGCGTATTAAGATACAAATCCAACAGAAATGCTTTCCTCCTGTTATTCAGCTGATAATTATTCACACTCTTCTCCTTAATCGGATACATCAGTTTCCAGAATTCATCGTCGCTAAGGGTATTAATAATTAACTTGCAGATATCCTTGTGACCAGCCTTTGCGGCAACATGCATGCCGTTATAATGACATCCCTCCTGAATGATGACTGGGGTATCACCCGAACTGATCAAGTACTTTGGATTACCATATAAAACCTTTGCGATATTATCGACCTCTCCTTTTTCAATGAGTTTGCGAAAATTAGTAATCTCTCCACGTTTGGGGCCCTTATACTCTGAAGTGGGTTCAGCCGGACAAGGCGAAAGCTCTTGAGAAGACTGTCGAGATGGTGTGTGGAGCTTCGCCAATGCAAAAGCTTCTGCCTCATTTCTGGTGCTAAAGGCTCTAAATCTAGCACCATTGTTCTTTTTAACACAATGCAGCGCTTCAGTTCTATCTGTAAAAACTGAAATACGCTTTGAGTCCAGACTTTCATTTTCACTTCCACTGACTACTTGTAAGCAAACTCCATAGAATGTACCTATTTTTCGATTAACTGAGTCTAATCCAAGATCGCTATCTTCTTTTGTACTTGGGCAATCAGATACACAGGGGTTACTGTCTAATTTGTCTATGAAACCATTAATATTGGTCGTTCGACTCGTTCCTTGCTCGGATAAATTCTCGACTTCTTGTTTCTGAGTTTCAGACGGTTTGTCGACCTGCTTATTACCGCCCATGGCTCTAGCCAGCTTGGTTTCAAAAAGTTTTCTCGTTGTTTTCGTAATAGGGCCATCGCGCAGGTTAAAGGAGCGTAATTTCGTTCGTAATTCTTCATCTGTTAACAAAGCTATTTCGGACGCCATCTTGAATTCGAACGCTGTATGATGTAAACTTCATCTTATGTGAATATAAATCTACGTCAGGTGAAAAGACTGGAAATAGTTCGTCTTCACGAAGCTGTACGTAGCAAAAGGTCTAATTTAATAAAGAAAATAACGAGGGTTTACATTCAGTATAACTTTGTCTTGTCACAAGGAAAAACGGTGAAATTCCCTTCCTTATAACTTCAGCCGTTACCTATAGCTAAACCCACTTCTCTTCGCCCGTGTTTACTGCTATTAATTTGGCAGACATTTTCCCGCCATTTAAATATGTACGAAAGCTTCGAATTGATAGGGAAACAACTACCTGAAAAATACAAGAAGAACTTCGACGTCTCGAACAAAGACCCTTTGACTTGTACTGTTAGTTTTGAGAAATGACTGTATATGTAGTATTGACATTTAATTTGTTATTAATTATTAGGGAAGCGAACAGACGATTTGCATAAATTAGGCGAACATACATTTTAGCATAAATTAAGGGCGTAGCCAAGACAGTGTTCTTCGTATTCGAGCATGGATCAGTGCCTTTTTAACTATATATCTGGGGCACTGCCCCCAGGGAAATGATTTGCTCCCCAGTAAAGCCATTTCTGTCCCCGAAGTGCGAAGCAGAATTGCTCATGATTGCTGTCAGAATTGCAGTTGATTTACTTGATAATGAGATTATGCCCTTCCATAGCCTCCTTCACAGCCATCTTGTGTGTAATTCATATTGTTCTTCACCGAGTATTTCATAATAGCGATAGATTTCATGCAAACAATCCGATAAAATGCTAGCCTTTCGAAGCCTTGCGACTATTTCCAAGCACTCTCCTCCACAGAGGCGTTGTGTTTAGTTTTGGGAGGTTTTATTGCAAAATTTTTTTCTTAAAAAATATCAAGTTATATTAAGAGCCCCCCCTCCCCCCGTAAAATCGTCCCCAAAGTGCATTGAATGGCGCTTCCGAGAGACCGAGACTCTAAATTTCATGATCACTGACAACAATATTCCTGTAGGAGCACGACCCCATGCCCTCTTAGAGGGGTCTAGCTTGTTTTTAAATTGGAACTCGATATTTATGCCTTCACATTATCATCCCTATAGGCCGCCGATGGCAGGTTCGCTGCGAAGAACAACTTAGCAAAGGACAGACGACAATCATGGTAGTCGTGCTACCAGGGAGACCTTCATAAAATGTTCTAGTTTTCCCAACATCGACAAAGGACCACGACCTTTTTATCGAGCAAAGAGATCCCAGCAATTGCATTTCGTGATGAAAACTTTTATGAGAACGTGTTCCAATGGTATCAACGATACATTGCCTGTTGTGCATTTCTATTTGGGACGAAGGCTTGCCCTGCTGAAATACCTGTCGTTTACTTGGATTATAGTGACGTTTATACTCGGTTGGATCATGTTTCTTCATAAATATGACACATCGTCTGCCAATCTTTAGCAATTCTGTTTTGCAAAATTAACTTTTCTAAATACATCTTGGCAGTTGTAGCTGAAAAAAGCGACGAGTAGCTTCAAAGAATAGAAGGTTTTACAAGCAGTGGAGACAGTGATATAGCCTGACATCGTGAATTATGATTTGGCCAAACTGGGCCTTTTATGTATGTTTTGACTATCAGATACACATGAACGAATTTAATTAGTTAGATTGTATAGAAGACAAATATAAATGGAATAAATTTCGTGGATAAACCATATGCCTGACATACGACGCGTTAGTAAAAGCGTAGGCCTATTTGTCCGTTTTAGAATTATGCAAATTGTATTTGGCTGCTTCTCTTTATAATTCAATTTGTTTGTTTGTTCAGTATTCACTGTTTAAATATATACTGATGATACGAAAAGTGGTCTATATCACAAGTAGTTAATTTTAAAGACTTTAATAATAATATTGATCTGGTAATGATATAATAATTTGGCTTGTGGCTTTAGCCATCTTGGAAAATTAGTTGGCATGCCTTTCTGTTTCCCACCAATTTTCACCCGCCCGAAATTTTCGCATCCCTAACTTTTAAAAGGCTTGCGGAGGAGGTAGCTGCATTAGCTATATGCTCTTTCAGATCCGTGTGGCCACTCTATAATATTACAGAACGGCGCTCTGAAGGTTCCAGAAGGAAAAAATGGAGCGCCTATAAAAAGCTTGCACAGATGGCATTCATTTCCATAATAGCTAAATAAATAAAACGACCGCTTTAAACAATAGAAGCGCGTGATGTTGCCACGAATGCATGCACGCAATACCGTTCATGATCACTTGCACATAAAAAGTCAACGAAAATGGCGCTAAGCTTTTATATCAACTTGGTAGTCATATTTACTTTGAACAAATTGTTCCTTTCCTCGGGAGTATGTTTAAATTCCGTGGTAATACTCAGTCTCTGGAAATCTCCGCAACTTCGGAAGAAATTATGTTATTTCATGATCATGGTTTTGTCCTGTTGGGACTTGCTCGCGGTTTTAACAAATCATCCATTGATGGCTTTTATCACGATGTTGTGGATGAGTGGAAAGGTGAATGTATACCCTAGTTGGTTGCGAATTTCCTTACACATAGCAAATATTTTCATCGGTCAATCTTTGGTCGCTCTTTTGGTCATGAATTTTGATCGTTATTTGGCGACATCTTATCCTATTTATCATCGAACATCGGTAACGAAGAGAAGACTTTTAAGTCTTCTTGCAATACTAAGTATTGTCAATATTACTTTGGAAGTGATATTCGCAAACGACCTCGTAATTTCCTATGAAGTTGCTGCTTTAATATTTTACATTATTATCTGTCCCCCAATCTTGTTCATCAACTACAAATTGATCACAATTGCCAGGAAAAGTCGTAGAAACAACGGAATATCCCCCGAGATTAAAAAATCGATATCTTGGAAAAATATATCCAGTTGCTTGCTAGCAGTCGCTTGCTTTGTGGTGCTGAGCATTCCGACATTGGTCTACATTGGATTTGGGATAACCTCGAAGGATGCATCAATATTGGAAAAGTCAAACATTGCAGCACTCTGGGTGAGCACCATAATCTCAATGAATTCAACATTTAACTGCTTAATCTTTTACTGGAAAAACAAGATGCTACGAACCGAGGGAATGAAAGTTATTGAAAGCATGAAAATATGTCGCCGATTCCGATCACAGTCAGACTAGTTTTCTTTATAAAGTATTTAACTTTCGAATACAGTTTATGCGTCCATTTTGACTTTGGAATATATATTCCTTCGCATCGCTTCACATGGTTTGTCATACAATGTCCTGCTGGTATCTGTGAATATGGACGTTACGTACACGACTGATGCAAACGCGGTTGTTATACCTGCCAGTACATATGTTACCACTGCTCCACTAGTGGTATAAGTTGAACGGACAATAGAATAAGTTCAAGAAAAGGACAGAAAAAATGTATTTAGCTTTGAACGCTAAACAAGGGAAGAACATAAATTCCAGTATATAGTCAGACAACAGTGAAACATGTATATCGCGTGACTTATATGTGTACTAAACGCTTATAATTATACAGGTTGCAGCCGCCTAATACGAGAACACAAAAATACTCTTCGGTAAAATAACACCGCAGACTTTCTCTGAATACTCTGCATGTACGGTTTTTTCTGTAGTGACACTCCAGCGTTAATGAATCTTTACTGAAGGTCCAAAAGGAACAGTTTCAAAATTATGTGCAATAAAGTTATGACGAACATGGTTGAAGGATTCAACTTACTGAGAAATACAGGACAAGCTTCGACGTCTTGAGCGAAGGCACATCGTCTGGAAACGTGTCGAAGGTTGTCCCTTTTTAATAAAGTTAGTGTGGCCTAAGTTTCCACGGGTAGTAATTGCACTGGAGTGTCAAGCATGATCCTTAGTACTAAACCTCAAGTGAGAACAGTTTGGAATAGGCAATTCCAGCTTTTAATTTATGCGCGCTGGGGATGACGGGAAGAAAGCATATTGCTGATTATGCTGACAAATTCCAATAAAAACTGCCAAAACAACCGAAATATTTCAATATTTACAAATATAAGCTGTCACTCCGTGTTTACACGGCGCCATTTTTATTTTTTCAGCATAATGAGCAATATGATACCTTACCTCCCCCCCCCCCTCCCCTGCACGCATAAATTAAAATCTGGAATTGCCTATTGATTGAACTATCCAGTAAATATACCGAATAAAGTTAAATATAGGTTTCTTCTTGTAGCAACTACGCACCACTAATCAATTGTCCTATAGTACTGAACCTTAATGCATGGATATAATTTAGAAGTGATAGAGCTATATAGTATAAAGAAAGATAGACGGTTTAGCGTGATACACGATTTTATAATGTGTTTGACTCTGCCATGAGATCAAACGTGCTGAGCGCTTGGACCGTCTGTCCTTCGTCGCGTGTATAATTAGGATATATCTTGAAGAAATGGTAAAATTTCAATCTTGAATTCACCCTTTATCATGCCCAAATACTTTGCAAAATTACGCGTTTTCTTTGAAAAACAGCATTTTCCTGATCGTGATATTTTGCTTAGCAACGGCCTTAGCAACCAATGTTAACGCAGAAAAACTTGCCCGGTCGTCGTTGTCTCGTCTTTACCACCCCTACCCTAGGAGGTCCTAGGAAGAAAAATAAATTCAGTCACCACTGACCTGTTTTATACATAAGAACTTAAGTTTCGGATGCATGAAAAGTAAGAAACATTTGAGCGTTTCTGGCGCGCTGTGTTTTATTTATCGAGATTGTTTTTATTTGTTTGCGCTGTTACTTTCTTGCTGTTGCGAGGGTTTTTGGAGATGACTGAGTTATAGTAGATAGCTGATACGACTGCTGAAAATATTGTAACAATGGGTAACTTCAAATCGCCTTAACTTCGAAACAAAATCATAATGGATGCTAGATTGATACACCTGCAAATGGCAAGCTCCACAATCGGGCATCTTGCTAGGTGAGAAAAATTGTTTGGCTTAAAAATAGCAGTGAAAACACAAGTAAGAAAAAGTCAGTTGCAATTGGTCATTACGTCACTGACATGAAGTTTTTGTCAGGATTATATATCAGGCAATGGAACTGTTGTTAGACCA